ATAAAGTGTATACATAAAAAAAAAAATAAAATTATTGTTGAGAGGCAACGTCGTATCGGTAAGCGAAGTATGGAGTGGTCACTCACAATATGGAGTGACGACTGATAGATGCAGGAAGTCAATGGATGCAGGTGGCTCAGGACCGTGCTTTGTGGCATTCCTTGAGGGAGGCCTATGTTCAGCAGTGAATTTGTGATGGGCTGTAATGATGATAATGATAATTCACCAAACAGCAAGTTGATAGTAAGATCACATATTAGTTTTGATTTAATATTTTTTTTAACTAAACAGTTGATGGGATTTCCTACATCTAATTGTATTTCTTGAAGAAGAAAAAAATCTCTCCGATAAAAGCACACGGGTAATTGCTAACAATGGTTGTACAGGGGCGCTTCCTTCCGCGAACTGGTCTGTGCAAAGTATCGCGTTGCCCCGCCTGGGTGTCGAAATCACTACAACATTGATTTGCCACTCCTGTGACTGCACTGGTGGAGGACGGCGGACAGTCCAAAGTTATTAGAGATGTCAGTATTAACGATCACAAAGATATATTATTTATTAGAATCAGAGATGACACTGCATCTGCATTTTGGTTCTTAATGGATGATTGATTTAGCTGTTTGTTATTATCATTTTTCTTTTATAAAATTGTAGTGACATACTTAATTATAGTCCACTCGATGGTAAGTGGCTACAGCAGTCCATGGGCACTTGCAGCCAATTTCTAACAAAGACTACAGATGCATTGTCACATCATGAATGAGATGGAATGCTTCACAACGTGTCATTATACCGTCTCTCTATACCCTGAAGCCCAAAACACAGCAGTTCGAGCAGTGCTATTTAACAGCAGAAATAAAGAAGAGGACGGAACTAAACCAGACAGTAGAAGTCCGTCTGGTTAAGTCAGTAAAGGAATCCATCTTCCACCAGGAAAATCTAGAGTAGGGAGTTTCTGAAGCGATGTGTAGGTCATTTTACTTAAGTTCTTTGTAAAGGTCAATTATAGGTGGGCTAAATGGTTATGTAAGAATTTAATGCTTGAATCCTCCTATTATAGTCAAAAGTCCACTTTTAAATATCCTCTATAAATTGCTTCATATTTTTGCCACGTTTGTTAAGCGGGTTGTCATAGTTAACTTTTTATTATTATCTAGCGTTGTTATCAGAAAAATGCTGATGCCTATCTCCTGCTTTATTTCTCTCTGTCTCTTTAAACACCCAAGTGATTGTTACGGAAACTTGCACTCTCTTACGCATTGACATGTATAGATTTATGAGAAAGAGTTATCAATTATCAATTTTAATGGTTTTATAATAAATAAGACTACCATCATCAAGAACTATTAATAGAAACTTCTTCTGCTCTATGAAGTTAAACATCAGATTTATGTTTTTACAAAAATATTGCCAATTTTCAGCAGCTGCGTTTCTAATCCATAGCTTGAAACTTAATGGCCAAACCTAGTCAACGAACTTCACGGGATTCATTATAATATTTTCTGTAAACTGTCCACAGCTGGACGAGTCCTAATCGAACTGTCATGAGTTACCGTTATCGTTACAGCCTAGTTACCGTTACAGCCTATTAAAGTATACTGCTGAACATAGGCCTCCCTCATAGATTGCGTCATAGCAGAAATATTTGCCATAGTTGCCACGTTTGGCGAGTTTGCAACCGCACTTTTTCTTGGTCGTTATTAGGAATACGCTGCTGCCTACCTCCTGATTTGTTTCTCTCTGTCGCCTCTTACGACACCCACGGGATGATATGTGGTAGCACATATACTTACACCGCCTACACGGCAAGTCATGAGTATCACATAGGAAATCCAATGGAAGTCAACTGCGTGGTCACCGTATTTAAGTGTAGCGAGGCCGATTGATTCGCATCGGATATCGACGGAGTGTCGAATTACTCGGCGATTGACGTGCGGTGGATAATAGGCGTTTTGTTGGGCCACCGCGATACGAGACGAGCGCTTTTTTGCCTCTAATCCAATTATTCGCTCTTTCTTCGAGCAAATTGTGCGGACACAATGGCGCTCGCTCCACTGCGCCGCGGGACTTACGGCTTACTTACGACGTTTAAACGGCTTTAGTCAAGTTATAGAACAAAGATTTTCATACGTGGTACAGCCACGTTGCAGCTATATTATGGTTGGAACGCGAATGGGCCCGCTCGACCGGGGAAGGGCGACGCTCTCACAGAATACCAGCGTAAAATAGCAGCTCAATGCTGCTGTGTTTCGTATGATGAGTGTCCGGAGACCCTTTTTACTGAAAGCGAAGTATTCCATCTTAGTCCTCAGGGGTGACAATGCATCTGCGTTTTGATTTTTTATCGAGGGTAGATGTGGATGTAGATGTCTATGGGCCACCGCATCCTCTTACCATCAGATAGGTTCGCCTTATTCTATAAAAAAGGTAAAAATTTAAACTGCAGCTATGGTTTTTATGGTGGTTAGTTAATTTATTGATTTGTACTTCATCATCAACATAACAGCCCTTCCAAAGTCCAATGCTAAACCTAGGCCACCTCCAAAGAATGCCACAAAGCACGGCCCTGAACTACCTGCATCTATCGATTTCCTGAATATCATACCCTCAATTCCAATGATATAAAGGTACTAATAAGATGATGATTTGACCATCAAAACTATGACGTCTTCACACTATATTCTCATATAATTTTAAAGAAAATATTTATTTTGACATCTCTTCGAAGGTGTTTCTGTTGACTAAACGGTCAAATACACAATTCCTAGATCAAATTAAACTTTTTGAGGGAAACACCTTAAATATAAAAGTGACGTCACAATCTATATACGTCCCACTCCTGGGCACAGACACCTTCTCTTATCTGACAAAGTTTTGGGACAAGCAAGCGTCCACCTTGCTGCCCCAATATGTTGCCGGAGTCCATTACCGCCGAGCAGGTGGTAAATCAGAACTTAAAATTGCTAGTAACAATTTCATTGGTGCCAGCGGGGATAGAACGCGGGTTGCTCGCGCAACTTAACACTTGAGCTGCCTGAGCTGCTACGGTTACGTCAAATAAAATATAATATAGTTTCTATTCAGTGAAAGACGAAAAGTTGTTACTCTTCCTTAAATTCTTGATTAAATTCCTGAGACAGTACTACATCCACAGATATCTGCTCATATATTAAGTCCACTGCCTTATTACATTCTAAATCTCTAATAGCAACTTATTTCTTTCACTCGATATTCAGTATAAACGAGAAAGAGGTCTTGAAGAATAATTATATTGAATTATTTTAATATACAGGTTTTTCAACGTAGTAGAACCATGCTGCGGTTATATTGTGGTTGCAGAACGAATGGGTCGGCTCGACTAGGAAAGGACCAAAGCTCTCACAGCTTAATGCTGTTGTGAGGGTAGACAATCAAAGTCCATTTTTGTTGATAACGAGACATTCCATTTTAGTCCTCAGGGGTGACAACACTCTAACATTTTGATTCATTCAAGGATATATATAGTTGTCTCTAGGCCACAGCATTCACTTACCATTAGGTGTTCTATGTGGTCGTTTGTTATCTTTATTCTATACTGAGAATTGCTCCATTAAGGTAGGCAGAAGTATTCCATTAAGGTTTGTGTACATAATTGCAGTAAATTAAAATTACCTTTAATATCCGTGTGTGATATAGATACATAATTAATTAATAAAAATTATTATGAACATCGAATCAAAGTAAGCGGTTGTACGTATATATTTTACGTACAACCGCCTTGATTTGTCATTTGTTTATATGTTTTTGTCGTATAGTGGCAGTGTAAGAATATCCACTACTCAATATCATCCCGTGGGTGTCGTAAGAGGCGAAAGAGGGAAACAAATCAGGAGACGGGCAGCGACTTCCTAATAACTTAATAACTAACTAAAAATAAATAAATAGCCCTCTATAGTGGAAGCCTATGCTCAATAGCGGACTTCAGTAGGCTGTAACTGTAAGCTTTTGTTGATTAGTTATTTACATATAAGACATAATTATTCTGATACATAAATAAATAAAACTGAACTGTTTGAATCAAAATAACTGCAAATTTTACGTGGTAGAGCCATGCTGCAGCTATATCAGTAGTACAGTTGTAGCACGAATGGGTCGCCTCGACCGCGGAAAGACCACGCTCTCACAGAATACCAGCGTAAAATAGCAGCTTAACGCTGCTGTGTTTCGTATGGTGAGTATAGAGAACCGAAGATCCTTTTTACTCGAAAAGCGCATTCCATCTTTTGTCCTCACGGGTGACAACGCATCTGCATTTTGATTCTTTATTGAAGATAGATATGGATGTCTATGGGTCACAGCAACCACTTACCATCAGGTGGTCTGTGTGCTCGTTTGTCACCCTATCCTATAAAAAAAACTGCCTTATATTGAGCTAAATATTTTTATAATGGTGACTAATGTCTTAATAGCATACAAATAGCCCCCATTTGCATGCCATTAAGTCACGAATAATAATTTTTAAAATGTTTATATGTCTGTCTGTCTGTCTGTCCGGTCTAATGTCCAGAATGTCTGAACAGATTGTAATGAAATTTGATTAACAGATAGAGAGTAATACCAAGAGTGATGCAGGTTAAATTGTATATGTAAAGCTTGAAGATTTTCTTAAAACGAAATAAGTAAATAATCTATTAAATAAGTTATTCTTATCTATAAAAAAATTAAAATAACCCCACATTAATAGATTCTATCCAGGCGAGGCCAGGGCGGATCGCTAGTTAATAATAAATTGTAAACATTAATAAACGTAACTAAACTCCCGTTGATTCGTTATTAAGATATAATAAGTAATTATTATTGAATAATAATTATTTCGAATAAATACGTTGGTCATGTGTTTAGGTTGCTAAGAAGGAATCTATGCAAAATTTGTAAAAAAAATCTTTAAAACAATACACAATCATTAGCATAAGCAATGATTATACCAAGCATAGTGATAGTTGCCCAAGTTGGTCACTTACCTGTATTCTATCTTCAGGCAGGTCGGTCTTGAGGGAGAGCATCTCTCGCGCATACACGTCCGGGTAGTGCGCGTCCTTGAACGCCTTCTCCAGCTCGTCCAGCTGGTACGAGGTGAAGATCGTCCTGCCGCAGAAACAGAACGCAGATGGGTAGACATGGATAACAATTAACGGGTGAAATCATTTATTGAACTTTACCTAACCTTTATGTTTAATTTGCCACAAGTTTAGAAAATACTCCTGTTCTGGGAAGAACCAGGAAGAAACCCAGCGGGATATATTATTTCGAAAAAAAAAACAGAATCATTCAAGTTATGATTAACAACACAAAACAAATTTGAAATAGCTTGGTAGCGATCACCTCATTCCCATGGGTTAATCATCCATAAATTTTTTAATATTACAATAACCCTTTCTATTACAATCTTTGTTTAGTAAAGTTTTTTAACTTGGCAGAAGTCATATTTTGTATATTTTTGGGATTCGACTGGATTGGACGTAAAATAATCCAATGCCAGAAGTTTCTCTTACCTGCCTATAGATGGCGGTATAACCACCTCGTTTTTGTCTGACGCAATACTCAGACCAGCACTGGGCAAAGGTCAAATGCACGATATGTTTGGTTAAGGCAACTGCTCCATACAACATGAGGAGCCCATGTCCGCCAGTGGACTTGCAAGAACTTTGTTACGAGCCCTTTTGACTGGGAACGAGACATTTCATCTTAGTCTTGATTCTTAACCGTGGATAAATGTAGATGACTATGGGCCACAGCATCCACTTACCATCAGGTGGACTGCGTGCTCGTTTGTCACCCTTATTCTATAATATGATGAGGAAGGTGAAGAATAATAATTAAAATTAAGCTAATATCTTTTCACAGAGTATTTTAAAGAGAGAGAGTATATTTTACTTTCTCATTAGGAGCTCATATGCTCCATAAATACATGAATGAATTAATTGAAATCAAACTTAACCTAGTTTCAAATATATTAAATTAAAAACATCTCCGTATGCAAGACATTAATTATCTGAGCTTGTTAATGAACTACTTTTCTTTTTAAATTAAATTAACAGTAGGCGTTTATCATACAAGCTAATTGCATGACTTTGCGCAGTATTCAATTTCTTTTTATTTTTATTTTTATCTTTTTTTTTATTGAATTGAAGTGACAAAGGAACTTACGACTTACAGTTTACGTAGAATACTGAAGTGTAGGCACTTGACTGAGATAAAATGCTTTACACTCAATTATACTAATTATACTGGCTCTTAATACCTTTCCGGCTGGAACACGGGTAAGAGGCTGGTACCTACACAGACAGATTCCTAGTCAAAAAGGAAATCTTACCACCTTCTCCACCAAGGAATATATCTAGGTCACTAAAATTCCCTAACTAAATCTTGCAGATAGACAGCAGTTACATCCTCAAAGTCAACAACGCATCTGTAGGTTGCAATTCACTGCTGGTGTTCATGGGTATTGGTAACTCTAAGGTGGACTGCAAGCACGGTTACCGTCAGTTACTTGTGGGAACTGTGAGCACAACTTGTGAGTTTCTTGGCCCTCTTTACTTACAATCCGATTTTCGAGAAGATCTTTCACAAGAGGGACTTTTTCAGAACGTTACCTCCACACTAGGATTTTCTCCTTAATCGTGGTTGACAGTTGACATACATGAATTTCACAAGGACAAACATCCAGACCCGTAACAATTATTTGTAGGCCATACAAATACTTGTTCAGTGCGGGATTCGAACCCGCGACCCTTAGCGCTGTAACTCATTGCTAGGCCACTGTGCCTTGGAACCGTCACTTGTGGAAGCAATAGCATAGCTTTATTGAGCTTGCCGTTTAATATCCTAAGAAAATATTTTTGGGTCTCGCAGTGACAGTGAAGTAAAAACTTCTTTATGGGTTATTTTTTTCAAATTTAGATACTTGTAATAAAGCACTAATATTTACCTATGTCTGCGTTTTTTCTTCTTCTTTTTCCCGTTGTAGCCCGTGAGCCCATCCACTGTGAAGTCCTTGGCCGCTTCTAGTGAAGACACACCTGGTGGCAAAGATGCAAGTAATTATTGATACGTTTCACATTTAGTAAAGAAGGGTTATGTTTCTCCTTTTTTAAAGTTTATGGTTATAATCATAAAAATAATTTAGATATTCTTATAGTAAGTCTATAGAAAGTGTGTGTGTGAAAATGAAAATCACCACGGCACCTACCATAAAGGGCAGAACGATGTGCCAAGCGTGGCAACTATGGCAAATGTTCAGCAGTGGACTTTTGATAGGCTGTACCTGAAGATATATGTAGTTATGGAAATATAATTTTTAGTTTGCGAACGTTTGTGATGTTTGTAAAAATATAATTTTATGATAAGGTCCGACCGTGATTAAAACTGTACTGTAACAATTAATAAACAATTAGTATCTGTTTCATTGCAGAAGGTGCATTTGAAATATAAATCCAAGATTAAACAACGAAACTGAAGCTTTATCAAAGTCTGTGCGGAGATCAAACGAAGTTGGGAGGGAAGTAAAGTTAAAGATTTAATTATTCCGACAGCTTATATTTATTTATTTCCACCAACAATATACATTAAGGAACTACACAGAATATGTGCTTACATCTGAACCAATACTATTGTTAGGTTTAAAACTTGTACCTAAACTAGCTAAAACCTGTAACTTAGGTCATCTGATCCCCACTTGTAGAAATCCGTGGACAAAGTAGATAGATAAAGCTACAATAAATGATTTCCTTTGCAATTAAACAATAAAACGCGATACGTTTATATTCTAGTTAAAAAAGTAAAAAACACAAATTATAAGAAAGAAAACAATGTCACACTAAATAGCAAACAGAGACAACTGTTAAATATTAATTACAACGGTACATAGATACTATATTTTACTTTTTAATTTTAGCGTTTAGGATGCACGTAACGTACGAGTAGAATAATGAAAACTGTGTGTGTGTGTGTGTGTGTGTGTGTGTGTGTGTGTGTGTGTGTGTGTGTGTGTGTGTGTGTGTGTGTGTGTGTGTGTGTTGTTTGTGAGTAATAAGTAGAAATACATAAATAAATATACTCTTCTTTTTTATAGTATAAGGGTGACAAACGAGCACACAGTCCACCTGATGGTAAGTGGTTGCTGTGACCAACAAAAACTAACACTCTTTTACGAATAACATGTCATTGACTTTGATTTGTGTAAGAAACTTAAGCATGAACCTACTTATTTTGTTATCGCTGTTGGTTCTCTTAATAAAACAATTAAAACAAATGTACTTGCTTAATAGACTACATCACACCAACGAATCAACAAACCAGCAAATGATTGTAAACAAACATATTGGCACACCACGCTTGGACTTTATCTATAATCCCCGCTAACTGAGCCCCGAGTCCAACAGTTTGCCGCGCGGGAATTGTCACATAATTACCGAATGTGATTGCAGACTGAATTAGTAAGCGACGTCGGGTTAATAGAATAGATCGAGCGCGTCCCGGGAGAGGCCCGGCGAGGGGGAGGCGCCCGAGGGACGCCCCGGATAATTGAATTTGGTGCCAATGAATACGACAATGAATTATTAAATTTAGAGCGCTTCTATCGTTTTCCTCATCCTAGTTACGACATTATTGCGCGGTACACTGCTGCATCAGTTGGCAACACATTTATACATTCCTGGACAGCTGGCGATGGAAAAGGAATTGTGTGAATGTTTGTAGCGGGTGTTGCAATTGTGGCTGCGTGACGAATCGCGAATGGCATTATTGAGTAAAAGGGGTTGTGTTTGTTGGTTTGTTCCGAGGTCAAGACACGTGGTCCCAGTTCAATCGATAGGTGCACCGACGAGTTAAGCTTTTAGCAACTGTGCGTTTATCAAATGTTTCGCAAGTTCAGTGAGTGTTTTCTGCCGACTTCCAAAAAGGAGCCGGTACTCAATTCGACTGTATGTTTTTTTTTTTTTCGTTTTTTTTTTTTTATGTGTGTTACCTCAGAACTTTTTTCTGGGTGAACCGATTTCGATGATTCTTTTTTTATTTGAAAGCTGGTACTTCTCGTGTGGTCCCATATGAATTTGATCAAGGTCAGACCAATAGTTTTTAAGTTATTCTTAAATAACTTATATTGAAGTCGGCTGTACAAAATTTTTAATTTTAAATTATACATAAAAGTTTATTAAAGTTTTTTTTATTCAATTCAATTTAATTTTTCCTTTTAAGTAATTTTTTCTTTCTTATTGTATGTGATAGATCCACATTGCATCTGTATTATAGCTGCAGCATGAATGGGTCGATTTGACCGGGGAAGGAGCATTCTCTCTCTGATTACCAGCGAAAATAGTAGCGTAATGCTGCTGTGTTTTGTTAAATAACTGACAAGACGTGGAGACTCTTTTTACTGGTAACGAACCATTCCGTTTAACTCTCCAACGGTGACAATGCATTTTGATTTCTAATCAGGGATAAATAGATAGTCTATATGCCACGGCATCTACATACGAGTACAATAAGATGATTATTGTGTGCCAACCTTGAGCGCCAATTTAAAACCATCAGATTTACGTTATCCATTAACTGAATTATAACCTGATATAAAGTATCTATAGGTAATACTTTTGACTTTACAACAATTGACTTATTCTATTCATATAGATATCTTTAATGTTCAATTTGTTTGTTTACTACGAATAAGTTTTAACCGATGAATGAAAAATCGGCACAATAATTTGATCAAATTAAATCTTTTAATGCTATATTGTGTAAAGTATATGCTGTAGTGCTATTGTAGAATTGGGCAGATCGTGATCTGCCTGGGCATGATCATAATATGCCGCAATTTCATAATTTGGTCGATAATTTATCCGTCACCCATATCACTTTGTGCCTAATACATATTAATATATCAAATAAATGTACACGGCGTCAGCCGTACCTCACCCGGTGCTTTCGTATTTTTTTTTTATATAAAATTGAAGTGATAAAGGAACTTATAAGCCACCTGATGGTAAATGGCTGCTGCAGTCCAAGGACACCTGCAGCCAAGTTCAAACGAAGAAGGCTAAAGAAGCGTCGTCACCTCCAAGGAATTAGAAGAAACGTTTTACAGTCTATAACTATACTTGCTCTCATCTTCCCGACAGAAACACAGCTGTGTAAGCGCCGCTACTGGTGGCAGAAAGAGCTAAGTGTTTGATAGCTTCCCAGACGGACTCCTAGGCAGTTATTTTTATTTAATTTTTTTTTTAATTAGTCGCACCACCTAGTAAATTAAATTAATGATAACAGAAGTCATAGTGATATATTAATGGCTAAATCATGATAATGTCGTGCATCATAAAATTCCGAAACATAATCTATTAGATGAGACTACGAAATGTATAAATTCCGCCATAGTAATGGTTCACCTTGACGACGGCGCTGTTCAAAGTGCTGATTATGCACCGGCCGTACTTTGTCTTCCTACAGTTTCTACACAATTGTCATGTCAAACTCCTGCATAACTGTGTGTAAACGTGTGACTAACTTCAACTGTCTCGTTCTTTTTATTACTATTTTCTCTTCTTTTTTCGTTTCGTGTTGAAGAGATTGCTGCGATTAATGGCAGTTGTTGATATAACATGTTGTAACATCTTATTTGACTGCGTCGCTGCAGACAGTGGGTTTGAATCCCGTAAAGATTAAGCATTTACAACTTTTTGTTTTGGATCTAGTTAATAAATGCGCAGTTTATCCACACATGAATTTTTTTATTTTTAATTAAAAACCGGCCAAGTGCGAGTCGGACCCGCGCATGAAGGGTTCCGTATCAGCGTAAAACAGGTTTCTAGTAAGGGAGCCCCCTTTAATTTTTAATTTATTTTTATTTTTATTACTTGATACTATAAGGGCAATAGAAATACACATTCTGTGAACATTTTAACTGTCTACCTATTACGGATCATGAGATACAGCCCGCTGACAAACAGACTTAGTAATTGGGTCCCGTTGGTGACACGTCGGGTACGGAACCCTAAAAAGGACCTAAAAACATTAAAAAATAAAATAAATTCAACACGATATAATAGCTTCTAAACTAATACCTAGTGTATCGAAGAATTAAAGCCACCTTTTCTGAAGCCTTTCAATTGTGTAATTTTTAAAAAATTTTAAAGTCGATCTTTATGGTTAAAAGCTTAATTTTCTCCTTTTTAAGCATTATATACACCTAGATTAAAAAATTTACCCCCTATTTTCCCATCCTTAGGGATACAAATTTTCCTTGAATTTTAAATGTGACCATCCTGTAGGTACAGTTTATTTAAATGAAACAATCATAGAAATTGGTTAACAATTGATAAAGATATCGCATAACATACATACAAAAAAGAACATACAGTCTGATTGAGAATATTTCGCCTAAAATGCCTCAGAATGTATCAGAAACAAATAGGTTCATGTTTTTAGGGTCAATTTCATTTTTCGTTATATGCAGGAAGACTGCACGTCTGATAAATTATAGAAAAATATTTCGAAAACATGTGAGATATACTTCATTATCCTACTTGCCCTTAATCCCTCTCAGAAATGTGAGGAGGTCTGTGCCCAGTGGTACGACAAACAAAGGCGTATAAAAGCTATTTTTTTTATTAAATAAATGTTACAAACAAACACAGTCTACCTGGTAAGTGGGTGCTGTGACCCACAGACGTATACATTTATCCTCAACCAAGAATTAAAATGCAGATGCGTTGTCACCCTTGAGGAATAATATGGAATGCCTTTTTCCAGTAAAAAGGTTTTCCGGTTGTCTACACTCACCATAAGAAACACAGCAGCATTGAGTAGTCTATTGTTGTGTATTGGTAGTCTGTGAGAGTGTGGTCCTTCACCGGGCGAGCCGATCCATTCGTGCTACAACTATAACATAGCTACAGCATAGCTCTACCACGGTTTACTTTCCCTTAATCCCTTTCAGAAATGAAAGAAAAAAAACAGAGAAGACCTGTGACCAGAAGTGGGACATATACAATATGTAACAAAAACCCTGTGGTTCCCGTTAAGGACG